GATAAGGATGGGCGTAAAATATTGTGGAGAAAAGATGGAGAAAGGTATACAAATTGCAACCTTCTGCCTTGTAGGACCAGTGGCCGTATTACTGTCGGGTATTGGGGTTGGATGTCTTCGATGGGTCCCGGTGAGCTCGTGGAAATATCTGGTCGCAGTAATAGTCATGATTACTTGAATATTTTACAAAACGTAATGTTGCCTACGGTGCGAGTTGTGTATCCTCACGACCACATTTATTTCGTGCAAGATAACAGCGCAGTGCATCGTGCACATATCGTGCAAAACTGGTTACGAAATCAAGTAAACATGACTGTTATTGATTGGCCAGCAAAAAGCCCCGATTTAAACCCTATAGAAAATCTGTGGGGTCATATGGTGCTAAACTGGGACTCATCGGAAGTCAAATCTAAAGCCAGTTTAGACGACCTTGTCATGTCAACCTGGGAGTCATTGCGCGGTAGTAACATATGCGCGAATATGGTTGAAAGCATGAGCAGAAGGTTGCAAGAGGTAATATGCCGAGAGGGTTTACCAACACATTATTAAACTGAAAACAGATTTACATAGGGTCTGTAACTGACTCCGAAACGATACAAATCAGCCCAGAACAAAAATTCGTGTAAGCATTCAATGCTGCTGTACTGATTTCGAATAAATTTACTTATATTGTTTTTTGGGTCAGCGCTGATTTGTATTGATTTCGGAATCAATTATTGAGCCTGTCAAACTCTGCCTTTATTCAAATTAACTATTATATTTTTTAAGAATGTTAAAATGCTGTCTAGAGCATACGGTGAAGTGATGTTATTGTTTTGTGGTTAGAAATTGTCATAATTTCTTTCTATTCAACATGTTGATTCACTTCACTTTAATTTTTCATTAACAAATTTATTTAACTGCTTTCTAACTTGATTGACATATTATATTTACGCCCATCTTTAACTAATTTAAAGTTTCCCTGATTCTAAAGGTCATGAATGTTAAAATCGTTCCATAGCATTCGTCACATTTTTTTTACTAACATACAGCCCACTGAATATTGAACCTTATAACAACCGTCGTAAAATAGATAATTAATTGAAGATTCAAACGACAAAAATTCGCCAAGAAATAACATGTTGAAATTTCAGTGTATTTTTTTTACATGGTTTACTTGTTTATTACTTAATGTATTATTAAATTACAAAACAAGAATGTTGTATTTGTTTATTACTTAATAAAAAATGTTGCTGCCATCGCATTACCGCATGATATTTCCCGATTCGACTATGAGGTTTATTGTCATATCTATTAATTATGATTGGAAGAACTTTAAAGTTAACATGTGGTATATAATTAATTATTAGATATAAATATTGAATATAAAACCACATATTTGTATAATTAATAAATTAATTTTAATAAAAAATAGTATTGTTTTAATTACCGACTGATTTGCTTCTTTTATAGCCTGATATTTATATTATATGACAAAAAACAAAAAAATAAATAAATAAGAAAAACAACAAGGTAAAATAAAAAAAAACTTTTAGCTGGAATAGAACCCACATCATCATTGATCCTTGAAAGACGATAAAAGCGTGCTCATTAACCAATCGACCACGAGCACTACGATAATGACAGTGAAAATGTCGGGTCATATCAATGATTGTAAATAGTTTTAACCTTACCCATGCATTAAATTATAAAAATACGTATACCGACACAAGAATGAAAATACCAATGTGAATGTGGTGGACGAATATTTTTATACACAGTAATATGAAATTACCCACACATGTACATCGTGTAAATGACAGTAGTGTCGATGTGAGCGTTACGAACTAATTAGCGGTGCTTTGTGTACTTACAATACAAGTCCGTCTTCCCCGGCAGACCACAGTAGATGTGGGTTGTCAGGGGCAGTGGCGAGACGCTTGACTCGTGCGCAGTGACACACGCACTCCAGGAGCGGCGCGTTGGAGTTGACGCTGCGTGCGCGAACCGTGCCGTCCGCCGCGCATGTTGCTATCACGTCCGGGGATAGGAACTGAAAGGCATATTGGAAATGTTAATTGTTGTTAGTGTATATTGTAAAACCACATGAAGTTTTTTATATTATGGAAGTGGTGAAGCAGTCACTGAAGCCTATGGCATCTAAAACACTAGATATGTTGATCAAGAATCGCGGACCTCAGGCTGTTCTCTTTCTTGTATCTACCTCTCACTACCATCACCACCACCACCTTACCTACTCATTAGATGATATTATTGTTGTAGTATGATGTTAGGAGTAGGACCTAGCAATACGTGATGATTAAATATCTGAGTATTTCTGTCTAGTCTCAAAATAAATAATATTTGCGACACATTTTTTTTTTATGGCATAAGCCGGTAAACGAGCAGACGGATCACCTGATGGTAAGCAATCGGCGTCACCCATGGACACCTGGAACACCAAAGGCATTACAAGTGTGTTACCGGCCTTTTGGGGATTAGGAGTTTGAGGATCGTTGGGGATTCAGAAATTGGTGAGATTGGGGAAGGGGAGGGTAATTGGGCTTCCGGTAACCTCACTCACACGACGAAACACAACGCAAGCGTTGCTTCACGTCGGTTTTCTGCGAGGCCGTGGTATAACTCCGGTAGAGCCGGCCCATTCGTGCCGAAGCATGGCTCTCCCACACTTAAAACTTACTTAGATCTTATACTTACGCCTACATACAACACTCACGCACAAAGGCCTGAGTACAATTACTCCCTGCAGTGACTACAATTGGTATCGAAGCGTGAATTGCTTGTGAATGGTTGTAGATTTAGTAATTGGCATGTTACTTTGGGCGTCTGTGCGACAGTTGCTATACTGTACTGCATACTGCTTCGATCAACAATAACAACTAGATAAAGGGTTACGTACAAAATCAAGCTCCAGTTCTGTCCGTGTGAATAATAATAGTAAAAAATAACAAACAGAGAAAAATGTTTTAAAATAGTTTTAAGTTCAACCTAATAAAAACCATGGCACCTAATAATAAAGTCATAAATCGTCAAAATATTATCTAATACTTACGACCATTCGTCATATAAGACAAGAAAAGTATTTTCTTACTCCTGTCATGTAGAAATTAAAAGACATAAGTTATACAATATCTAGTTTGAATTCAACCTTAAGGTCGAACAAATAAAGATAATTTTTCCATTATTGTCTTGCGATCTATATCGTTTTGTTTTGTTTCGTTTTGCTTCTTCAAATTTCGAATTTCGCTACAGGAGGTATGTATGGAGTCGCGTTGGACACTAAAATAATTTTATAATATGAAAATTAACATTTCGGGATCTTAGTATACATCACTAATTTTTATTAGCGGTACGTTTTTGTGTATGATATGTTTATTTACTTTATCGTTAAAAGTCTAAGTCTAAGTCAAAATTATTTATTTCAGTTATACCAGGAAGGCACTTTTGAACAACAACAATATAAATTTAAAAGTGAAGCTATTTGCTCATTCCAAGGTGTAGATTCCTATGGAGAAGAACGAGCAAGAAACGATACAATTTCTTATTTTTTCAATACAAATCGACTCCATGTATCCACTGTTCTGTTTATACAAATGTTGGCGAGACTTGGCCAAGGAATCGCCAACACACGCACAAACATTGGTGGCGTTGGTTTATAATTGATAATTTTGTCTAATTTGATATTATTTACTAGTTTAAAAGCTTAAAATATAACTTATACTTTATGTACTTATCAAAAGTAAGACACTCCGGCCGTTATACTGCTTTTTCGGTTGTTATTTTTGCAACTTGCAATTACTCGTGAGACGTGAGTACGTTGGCCGTGTTTGGAGCATACTAAACAAAATAAGAGCTCACTTCTCAAGTGAGCTCTTATTTGTCGAGACGATTTTCTTGCGCCGACCCGATATCTAGTTGTTATTGTTGATCGAAGGCATACTGTGACGGGCAGTGCTAACTAATAAGCTGAATGACCTGCGAAACTTTACAGTTACACACTCACTTCGTGGTATTTAAATCGTTTCTTTATATATTCATATCTTTATTCATATCTTTACGACTTATAAACTTACACTTTTGTCATCAATCAATACTAAACACTAAATTAATTATTATGTTTTCGACTTAGTCACGTAATTATTTGACGAGGAACTCGACTAGTTTTAAGGTATGCTAGACAGTAGCAGCGCGACGGTCACCGCGTCGCGGGTCGCGGGTCGCGGAATGCTATTCATGAATATGAGTCTCTAGCATGGTTTGAAACTAGTCGAGTTCCTCGTCGAATACTTACGTGAGTAAGCCGAAAATATGATAATTTACTATGTCTCACGCAAATTATGATACAAATTCTAAACACTGGTCAAACCCATTTTGAATTCATGTAAACAGACTGTTGTTGTTTACAACTAGACACAAAACCAACAACCTATTTTTAAAATTGGGTATTTCCTTAGTGTATAGAAATGAGTAAGTACCTTCATGTATACTCGGTATGAATCAGGCATAGTCGGAAAATTAAAACTATTGAACTTATTTACGTGGAAGGCATTAGGATCAGGGCACGTAAATATTATAAAATTGTTTTTTGTGGTTCTAAGAGAACCTATTTAAGAATAGGGTACTTAGATGACTAATTTTTATTTTAATGTCCGTCTGATATATTATTTAAAAATATTAGACACGTACCTATAGGTATTGATTTGCAATATCGCATGACGTCACTTTTGAGTACGATTTATACTCTAAAATGACGTAGGTAGCTACCTCCCACTCCTAAACTTTGGTTCGCTTTATCTAAGAATTGTTTATTTATACGACAAAATAAAAAAATGCGTGTCTAATATTTTGTCATTACCTAACTGACTTAGACTGACGGACTTATTGTCACTGGACGGTAAATGCCACGTCAAAGTCACGCCGTAGTAGAGATGGGCACTGGGAAAAAACCCAAAGGGTAAAAACCCAGGTTTTTTCCCATTTGGGAAAAAACCCGGTTTTTATGTGGGAAAAAACCCAATAGGCGGGTATTTTCATTTATAATGATCTTATTCTATTTTTATTTTCAGAACTAAATAAATAGGTACTTTGTGACGCGTATATACCTACATTCACTCAAAAAAGTATCGGGAATGGGTGATTTAAGTAAAAACGCGGGTTACTCACGTGAATATACTGATACTCATGTGAATATATTCACGCGAGTAACCCGCGTTTTTACTTAATTTAGTATGTCTCACGATAGTTATTATAAAAACAATGGATGATTTGTTTATGGTTCCAAATTCAAATTTTTGTTTTTATGTAGTTGTTAGATTGGCACAACTGTTTTCCATTTTGGCGCGGAGTTTGAGTTGCATCTGTTATTTATATTAAATATAGCGCTGGTTTC